AGGACTAAGGACTACAGATAGGCATAAGGTTAAAGCACGGTCAGTTGATTATGGTTTATTGAAAGAATTTTAGGGGCGCCTGGGTGTTTCAGTCATTAAGCGTCTCTGCCTTTGGCTCAGGTCAGGATCCCAGGGTCCTCTCCCTCAGGGTCTGTTTCTCCCTCTCCCACTTACCCTGCTTGTGTTCTCTCTCTCGTTGTCTCTCTCTGTCAAATAAATAAACTCTTAAAAAAAAAAAAGAAAGGATTTTAAAAATAGATCAGTGTCTCAGTATCTTTATCTGTAAATTGGTGATAGTAGTAGTCTCTACCTCCATGTGTTTGTGAAGAAGGGGAAATGAATAAATATATGTGAAGCCTTTAAAATGATGTCTGGGGCGCCTGGGTGGCTCAGTTGGTTAAGCGACTGCCTTCGGCTCAGGTCATGATCCTGGAGTCCCGGGATCGAGTCCCACATCGGGCTCCCTGCTCAGCAGGAAGTCTGCTTCTCCCTCTGACCCTTTCCCCTCTCATGCTCTCTATCTCATTCTCTCTCTCAAATAAATAAATAAAAAAAAATCTAAAATAAAATAAAATAAAATAAAATAAAATGATGTCTGGCAGGGGCGCCTGGGTGGATCAGTAGGTTAAGTGTCTGACTCTTGATTCTGGCTCAGGTCATGCTCTCAGAGTTGTGGGGTCGAGCCCTGTGTGGGGCTCCACACTGGGCATGGAGCCTGCTTGGGATTCTCTCTCTCCTCCTGCCCCCCCCCCCACATATCTCTCTCTTGCCTTCTCTAAAAAAAAATAATAAAATTAAATAAATAAAATTTTTAAAAAATGATGTCTGGCATATATGAAACCCTATGTAAGCATTAGCTATTACTATTCAAACCTTTCTATATAAAAGAAAGTATATGGGGGCACCTGGGTGGCTCAGTTGTTAAGCTGCCTGCCTTTGGCTCAGGTCAGGATCCCAGGGTCCTGGGAATGAGCTCCGCATCGGGCTCCCTGCTCAGCGGGAGGCCAGCTTCTCCCTCTCCCACTCCTCTTGCTTGTGTTCCCTCTCTTGCTGTCTCTCTGTCAAATAAATAAATAAAATGTTTTTTAAAAATGTTAAAAAAAAAAAGAAAGTATGTGTATTTCAGTCTAAACCTGGCTTCTGGTTTTAGACCAAAAACTCCTTCAGCACAATGGCCTTTACTAATACCTACAGGTTGTCTACTGTTCCCATGTTATCTTGGATAATTTCCATATAATCAGTGTAGAGGGGCCCAGAGACCACCATTTCCCCAGAGAAATAAACATTTCCATCACTCCACCCTGTGCATCAGAAATATTATTCTACCCACAGTCACAATTCATAGAAGAATTTATCCATTGGGAAATTCTTCCCAGAAGTAACCCAGTCTAATCAGAGGTTAAAAAGGGGTCAGCATGAGTGAGCTAGAAGAGAAAGGGACCAGTGTGGAATCTATCATAATCCAGATGGCCTATGACGGCAGCATGGACAGGAGAGTAGTGCTGGGGGGAGAAACAAGTAATGAATTTGAGGTATATAGAAAAGTTAAAATCAGGGCAACCCTCTCGGGTCCCCTTCCTCTTCGGGAGCTTTGTACTATCACTTTACTATCGATCAATAAACTTTGCTTTGTTGCCCACCAAAAACAAAACAAAAACAAAACAAAAGTTGGAATCAATAGAATTTGCTGAAGGATTGGGTATGGAATGTAAAGGAAAAAGAATTTTCAAGAATGGCCGAGGTTTCTAGTGTGAACAGCTGGATGAATGAAGATACCAACACTCTGATATGGAGAACACTGTTAAAGGAACAGGTGTGGGGGAGAGGAGTAGGAGTTTATTCTTGGTCATGCTGAGTGTAGAGTCTGAGACATTCAAGATGCGCTATCAAGTGAAATGTTTGATACATGGTCTGGAGCTCAAAGGAGAAGTGTGGGTTGGAGATAAAATTGATATACTAAAACACGAAAAGTGGTTATTTCTGGGTGATAAGCTTTTGTATCTTTTGTTTTATTCTTTGTACTTTTCTGCTTTTCTCAGGTTTTCAGCAATGAAAAAAATTTTTTCTAAATAGAGTTTTTAAAAAGAGTAAACTTTTCCCTGCGCTTATAGCAAAGAGGAATACTCTATTTCTCATAACTGGCATTAGTAACCTCAACAGGAAGGTCCCTAGAGTGGAGAAAGCCAAATTAGTTTAATGTTAATATCTCTTTGGCAATACCATATTTCTTTTACATGGGTCTGCAGAGAACCAGCCATCTTCCAAATTGTAACTTGTTATCCCGAGTAGACTTATGCAACAGTAGTGGGTCCACAGTGCAGGTAGATGGTTGAGTTTGGTAATCAGGTGTCTCCCTGATAATTGAGGTGTTTTAAGAAGTCCAATAAAAAGCAATATTTTCCCCTCATCCTGGATGAACCAACTGATAAATAAAACAAAGAGTTAGGAGATGAGGGCCAAATATTTGTGTACTAGATGAGCTGGGGAGTCAAACCATATAATCAACAGATTATCCACCCAATTGTGGCAACACTGAAACAGAGCCAGCCCCTACTCCCACCTTATCCCCAGAATTGCAAAACAAAAGGCACATGAGAGTAGCTAGTAACCAAGGGAAGAGGTGAGGAAGACTCTGGGTCATGTACACACAGTTTCTATCTCCTCACTCAGCATTTCCCCTGAGGCAGAATGAGGGGGGGATGTAAGGATGGAGAAAAGCCAGGAGTGTAAGGCTAATCCCAAAAGTAAGGTGCAGTCACACTCACCAACACCTACTATGAGTTTCTGTATTTAGCATCAGGTTTATAAATCAAGCTCAATCATGTACAAGATGCTATCCATATGCATTTGGATAGAGTCTGAGTCCCTGATGACTAGCACTAATTCAACACCAGCTATTTTTAGTAGAAACTGAATTTATTAGCACAATATTGGGTGTATAATTATTGTTTGGATCCTGGATTCAAAAAGAAAAACAACACCCATATTCATAGCAGCATTATTCACAATAGTCAAAAGGTGGAAGCGACCCAACAGTTCATTGACAGATGAATGGATAAACAAGATGTGGTATTTACATAGAATGGAACATTATTCTGCCTGAAAAATGAAGGAAATCCTGTCATACACTGTAACATGGATGAACTTTGAGGAAACTGCTAAATGGAATAAGCCAGTCACGAAAAAATACTGCATGATTCCACTTACATGAGGTACCTAGCGTGGTCAAATTCACAGAGACAGAAAGTAGGAGGGTGGTTGCCAGAGGCTGGTGGGGAGGTGGAGATCTAGGAGTTAGTGTTTAATGGATACAGAGTTTCAGTTTTGCAGGATGAAAAGAGTTAAAGAGACTGGTGCAGAACAATGTGAATATATTTAATATCACTAGACTCTACACTTAAAAATGGTTAACAAGGAGGCGCCTGGGTGGCTTAGTCGTTAGGCGTCTGCCTTAGACTCAGGTCATAATCCCAGGGTCCTGGGATCGAGCCCCGTGTTGGGCTCCCTGCTCCACGGGGAGCCTGCTTCTCCCTCTCCCACTCCCCCTGCTTGTGTTCCCTCTCTCGCTGTCTCTCTCTCTCTGTCAAATAAATAAAATCTTTAAAAAAAAAAAAAAGGTTAACATGGTAGGGGCACCTGGGTGGTTCAGTTGTTAAGCATCTGCCTTTAGCTCAGGTCATGATCCCAGAGTCCTGGGATGGAGCCCTGCATCAGGCTCCCTGCTCCAGGGGGAGCCTGCTTCTCCCTCTCCCACTCCCCCTGCTTGTGTTCCCTCTCTCGCTGTGTCTTTCTCTGTCAAAAAATAAATAAAAAATCTTTAAAAAAAAAACCTTGAAAAAAAAATGGTTAACATGGTAAAAAACAAAAACAAAAACCAGCGATAAGAACATCAAAAACAGCTAAAAGAAAGGAGTTTTCTTTCTAGTTTTAACACATTGGGAATATTGGACACGGGTTATTCCAGAGTTCCAAAAGTATTAACACCAAATGTCACATGTTTCAAAATATCCTTAGATGAAACACTATTGAATATGGACTTGGGTTTGAAATAGAAAATTAATCAAACTTGAGTCCTGGGATATTTGAGATGATCTAAGATATTTTCTTTTTTTTTTTTTTAAGATTTTATTTATTTGTTTGACAGAGAGAGGCACAGCAAGAGAGGGAACACAAGCAGGGGGAGTGGGAGAGGGAGAAGTAGGCTTCCAGCAGAGCAGTGAGCCCCCATGCAGGGCTCCATCCCAGGACCCTGGGATCATGACCTGAGCCAAAGGCAGACCCTTAAAGGCTGAGCCACCCAGGTGCCCCGATATTTTCAATTATGTGTGAATTCATCTAGCACAAAAGTGGTATTAAAGGCTTGATTACATTGCCCCCCAAAAAATGTAGCTATAAAGGACGTTTTAAGGACTAAGGAAAATTTGAACATGAACTGTACTCAGTGATTTTATATCAAGGTTATGTTTCTTGCATATGATAATGGCATTGTGGCTATGTAGGACAACATCCTTGTACTCAGGAGATACATGCGGTTTTTAGAGTGAAGCATCATACCACCACTTACTTTCCAATGGTTCAGCAAAAGAAAATATTGTATAGAAAGAGAGAAATAAAGCAAAGAGTATATGGGAGCTCATCATACTATTCTTTTTTTTAAGGTTTTATCTTTTTAAAAGATATTATTTATTTATTTATTTGACAGAGAGTGAGAGAGAGAGCACAAGCAGGGGGAGTGGCGGCTAGAGGGAGAAGCAGGCTTCTCTCAGAGCAGGGAGCCCCATTCAGGGCTCCATCCCAAGACCCTGGGATCATGACCTGAGCTGAAGGCAGACACTTAACCAACTTAAACTCCCAGGCTTTCCAAGGTTTTATTTTTAAGCAATCTCCACACCCAACATGGGGCTCAAACTCACAACCCCAAGATCAAGAGTCTCACACTCCACCGACTGAGCCAGCCAGGCGCTCCATATTCTTTTATATTTTAAATTTGAAATGTTTGGATCCTTTTGTAGTTCATAAGCATGATGACTGGTTGTTCACACCACTGTGACATGTGCCTTCCTCAAACCTTGTTACGACCTTGGCACATTACCCGTCTGATGTGAAAAAATAATAATTAATTAACTAATTAAAAACGTTTGGAGAGTATATGGGGAGGACAAAATCTCCAGCTTAGAAGGAGAACAAGGCTTGAAAGATGCAGTTAAGAACAGGCTGAAAATCTCTCTGAAGGATCAGCCTGGTCAGGATACCACTTTCCTCACCCCCAAGCATGAGATGCTGCAGCGTTCAGCGCTAATATTGCTGGTACAGGGCACCGGGATGCCACCACTACACCCACGCCATCGCTTCCCCCAAGGACTCGGCCTTACAACAAACTCCAAATGAGTAAATAAGTCTAGCAGAGACGGTCACCTCTGGATGTACCATTAGAATTAAAGTGTGACCTGATCAGCTGACTATAAGACAAGGCATAGCTTGGGGCAGAGGAGTTGGGGGACGGGGACTTTGAATCAATCTCATTCTGAAACAGCCAGGTGGCCTTCTCAGCCTTAAGACACTTCATCCAGGGTAAAGAAATGTGATCAAGTCTGAAGTTTCAAGCTACAGAATTTCAATACACCTTTAAATGACAGATGAAAAATAAGAAAAACACTGGATTAATAAAATCTACTTTTTCTACCTCTCCATTTCAAGGGAAGTTTTCATGTCTACCTCTGGGTGTATTATCCATGTTATCCAGAGATTTCTGAATTAACTTAAGTTCTTCTAGACTTAACATACTGGAAACCTGTTACAATAAATATGATCCAGTAGCTGTTATCTTTTTTTTAGACTTATTTATTTATTTTAGAAAGAGAGAGAGTGTGTGAGAGAGTGCAGTGGGGGAGGGGCAGAGGGAAAGAGAGAGAAAATCTCAAGTAGACAAACCACTGAGTGTGGAGCCCGACGTGGGGCTCAATCTCACAACCCTGAGATCATGACCTGAGCTGAAACCAAGAGTCAGACACTTAACTGACTGAGTCACCCAGGTGCCCCAGCTCTTATCTTTTATGATTCTTTAAATATATACAGACATATTTTAACACATTCCAAAGCCATTTAGGAAGGACTTTTGTACAATCCCCAATTTGGGTTAACAACACTGCTGCTCAGCACTGTGGATATATATACATGAAAAGAGAAAATATTATTAAATGAGCCCTATATAACCAATAGTCTTCTATAACATAGTTAATCATCATATCAACCCTTCCAAGCACAGATATGACAAGAGATGTTGAGAGGGCACACAAAGTAAAGTTCCCTGCTCATTTCTGTACCTCACATTGCCACTCTGTAAAATGTCTCCTTCAGCATGGTGTGTAAGAAAGGGAAGGTGTATTAACCAGTTCAAACTGGGGACTGGAAAATTTAGCCACCACTTTTTCAGAGGGATAATTGGGATTTTGAGTTTTTATACCTGGAGAAAGTATCCCAGTGTGGAGAGAGAGTCAGGAGATCCATCATCCCGTTCTAAAGGTCTAGGGGCTCTGCTTGAGCAGGAAAAAAGATCATTGGAAAGGGCCAAACTCTAGAGTCAGAAAGACCTGAATTTTAATCCTAGTTATTGCATTTCCCACAGTGTGGCCTTGGACAATTTGCTTAACTTTGCAGATCCGCAGATTTTTTATATATAAGGATTACCCATCTCATAGCATTGTTGTGGTTATTGAAGGACAGCTCATTATGTAAAGCCCTCAGCACTGCACCTGACATGCTGTAGTGCTAAATAAATAGCAACTATTATTAAATAACGAAAGTTTCAAAACCTAGGCAAAGAAGAGCAGAGACATAAATTCCCTCCAGACATGAGAACCACTCTGGCCACTGACTGACATGTAAATCATGTCTAACCCTCTCAAAATAACCCACTATAACGGAAAGTAATTTCTATGTCTAAATTGGACAAGGTACACCCCTTTCACCGAGCTGCGCCTTTCTCCACTGGCTCTGTTCTGGGTAATCGATAGGTCTGAGATGACACTGACAATGGGGAGTTGAAACAGGCCCTTTTCCAGAATTTAAGTTTAAGCTTAAACAATTTGCATTAAATGTCAAGCATGGTCCAGCCACTGTGCTGGAAACTAGAAAATACAGAGGTAACTAAATATCCCCCAGCCTGCCCTCAAGGAGCTCCCGGAGTAATGAGGCCAACATGTGAACAGGAAACTGAATGGCATATAGAACGTACAGGTTACTGTGAGAAAATAAAGCATCCTAAGTTTTATGAAGCCTTTTGACCCAATCTTTATATATTTTCAACATTTTATTCTGTTCTGCACTTTATTTTCCTTAACAATTAAACACTCAGAAAATAGGCTTAAGTCCAATGTACATTCAAATGAGAAAACAAAATTCACCACTTTCGGTTTGCTTAAGAGTTGCCATCTATAGGGCACCCTGTTGGCTCAGTTGGTTAAGCGTCTGACTTCGGCTCAGGTCATGATCTCGGGGTCCTGGGATCCACCCCCACCTTGGGCTCCGTGCTCAGCAGGGAGTCTGCTTCTCCCTCTCCCTATAACCTTACCCCTGCTCGTGCTCTCTCTCTCAAATAAATAAATAAAATCTTTAAAAAAAAAAATTGCCATCTTTGTTTCGATTGTGCTAAATTTGTCAGCTCTATGATTCTTGTCGCTACCATCAGAGGAAAGGTATATATTACAGTCTAGAGAAGGCTATGCCAGAAAAGATCTCTCTGTCATACTGGGGATTAGGACTTTCAACATATGAATTTTGTGGGGATACAATTCAGTCCATAGCATTGTTCTCTGGTCCCCCTAAATCCATGTCCTTATTGCATACCAAATACATTTATTCCTTCCCAACAACCCCTAAAGTCTCAACTCATTCCAGCATCAACTCTAAAGTCTAAAGTCCAAACTCTCATCTAAATATCTAAATCAGTTATAGGTGAGACTAGAATTGTGATTCATCCTGAAGCAAAATTCCTTTCCAGCTATGAGCTTATGAAATCAAACAAGTTACATGCTTCGCAAACACACGAGCAGGTCAGGCATAGGATAGACATTCCCATTCCAAAGGGAGGAATAGGAAAAAAGGAAGGAATGATAGGTTTCAAGTAAGTACAAAACCCAGCATGGTAAATTCCATTAGATCTTCAGTCTTGAGAATAATCCTCTTTGGTGCAATGCCTGGCCTTCCAGACCCACTGGGGCAGCAGCCCCACCCTGCAGCTCTACCAGGCCAGGTTCGTGCCCTCAAGGCTCTGCCAGCAGCAAACCTGCCCCCTAGGCTCCAGTTGTTTTAACAGAATATAAAATAGACAATGTTTAACTAGATAATAAAGAATTGTTAACTAAGTAATTGAAAAGGCAAAAAGAACACTAAGCTTTCACAGGTAGCAAGAGCAGGAAGCAGTTCATAGGGCTGGGGGAACAAAGGGAAGAGGTTGTAATTAAAACTTAGAAGCTTGGAAGAGAGTCCCTGAAAAGGGGTGCCAGCCACCTGAGCTGGTGTCTCTGCAGGGATACAATGAGTTTGCCTTTGCAAGCTGGTAAAACCTCAAACTAGATCCTACTGAACGTTATTTGCTAGGGCTGCCATAACAATGTACCACAGACTGGGTGACTTAACAAAAATCTATTGTCTCACAGGTCTGGAAGCTAAAAGTCCAAAACTAAGGTGTCAGCAGGGAGGGTTCCTTCTGAAAGCTGTAAAGAAAAGAGCTGTTCCAGCCCTCTATCCTTGGCTTGTACACAGCCATCTTCCCTCTATGTCTCTTCACATTGTCTTCCTCTATGCATATCTTCCTATAAAGACAGTCAGGCGCCTGGATGGCTCCGTCAGTTGGGCAGCTGCCTTCGGCTCAGGTCATGATCCAAGACAGAGTCCCACATTGGGCTCCCTGCTCTGTAGGGAGTCTGCTTCTCCCTCTGACCCTCCCCCATCTTGTGTTCTCTCTCTCTCTACTATATAAATAAAATCTTTAAAAAAAAAGAGAGAGAGAGATCAGTCATGGTGAATTAGGGCCCACCCTAATGAATGCATGTTAACTTGATTACCTCTATTTTTTTAAAGATTTTATTTATTTATTTATCTATTTATTTATTTGAGGGCAGGGGAGGAGCAGATGGAGAGGGACAAGCAGACTCCGCACTGAGAACAGAGCCTGATGCAGGGCTCTACCCCGCAACCCTGTGGTCATGCCCCGAGCTGAAACCAAGAGTCACGTGCCCAACTGACAGAGCCACCCAGGTGCCCCTTGATTACCTCTTTAAATATCCTATCTCCAAATAAGGTCACATTCTGGGGTACTGAGGGTTAGAACTACAACATATGAATTTTAGGGGACACACTGAGCCAGTAACAACCTGCTTCTGGAATGAACTGGCTCTGCTGGAGTGAAGAAGCAGCATTGCTGGACACTGGTGACAGGAACAGGAAGCCAACCAGAAAGAAAACCAGAAGCAAAGAGGAAAGAGTAAATCCCTTCTTCCTCATCTTGCCACGCAGTCTCCCTCTAATGTTGCTTATTGATAGAGCCTAAAAGGAAGCAGCTGACAAAGGCAAAATGTGGTTGGCAGAGCCCCAGTCCCTGCATCACAAAGCAGAATATAGAATTGTGGGTTTGAAGCTGAGAGCCAAGAGGTTAATAACTGGCACAGTGCTGAATAATTGTGAGTTATTCTTATTCATCACTAGAATCAGAGTGTTTATTTTCATTTTCCATATATTTTTATAATATAATAAGAAAAAGTTGCAATAAAATAATTAGCTGAACAAACATACTGGCTACGCTGCTAAAGCTGTCCTGACGGCTGGTGGGCTGGAACATCACCACGCCACAGCTCACATTCATTTGTTCACTGACACAGGACACTGAATCAGGGGCCTTCCTATGGGAGGCCAAGGTGTAATGTGCATGGTGTATAAACTAAACTAAAGGGACGCCTGGGTGGCTCAGTCATTAAGTGTCTGCCTTCGGCTAAGGTCATGATCCCAGGGTCCTGGGATCGAGCCCTGCATCAGGCTCCCTGCTCCGCGGGAAGCCTGCCTGTCCCTCTCCCGCTCCCCCTGCTTGTGTTCCCTCTCTCACTCT